CCTGGGGAAGGGCCGGTATGCATGCAAGGCCGCGCTCAGAGTTGGGCGGAGAACGCAGGACTCCTAGCTCCCAGAAGCCTCTGGGCCTCACCAGGTTGCAGCCTCCCTTCCTGCTCTTCCTGAGCCAGAAGCCTCAGGGCACCTGCCGTCACCTGTGCAGTAGGCTGGACGGTCCCCTTTTAAATGCCACCTCCCTTTCTCCGTCCCAGCTCAGTGTATGAGACAGATCTCCTCTCAGGTGGCCTTTGGCATGCTGAGGATCACGCCTCCGGCCAAACTCGGGTCTTGTTCCGGTGCCTCTGAACGGCCTAAGGCAGCGCCCTCTGGAGGTCTCTTGAGGTGCTGCAGGAGCGTCCGCGGGTGCCAGGTGCGCAGAGTGCAAGTCCGCGGGCGCTGAGACAGCGCTTGCCGGGCCAGGCGGCCCAGCGCCCGACGCACGGGGCGCTGCAGCAGGCCGTACAGGAAGGGGTGAGCCGCGAAGGCCGAGTAGGCTACCCAGGTGACAGCTACCTCGGCCTTCGCGGCCTGCGCAGCCGGAGCCAAGCACGCACAACCGTAAGGCAGCCAGCAGGCTGCGAATTGGCCCACGGCCAGCGCGGGGGCCAGGGCTGCTTTGCCCCCAGGCAGACGCGGCCGGAGGGCGGGTAGGATGGAGAGGCGGCTGTCCAAAGAGTCAGAGCGCAGCCGGGCCCCTCGCGCGGGCGGCGGGGGCCGCAGGGCAGCGCGACGCGCCACCAGGAAGATGCTGCCGTAGGCGGCGAGCAGCAGGAGGGCGGGCAGCGCGAAGGCCAGCAGCGCCCAGAGAGGCCGGAAGGGCCCGAGGCCCCCGGCCAGGACGGAGCAGCGGGCCGGGGCCGGGGGTGTTGCGGGCGGCGGCCCGAGCAGGGAGAGCGCACCTAGCAGCGTCGCTGCGGCCCACACGGCCGTGAGCACCAGGGAGGGTGCAGGCCGCGCGCCGGGTCGCAGCGGGTGCACGATGAGGCGGCAGCGCGCGAGCGCCAGCGCGGCCACGCCGAGGGTGCTGGCCGGCAGCAGCGCGGCCGAGAGGAAGCGTGAGGCTCCGCAGAGCACGGGGCCCAGGCGCTCGCGGCCCAGCCCGGGCGGCGGCGCGGCCAGCAGGCCCAGTGGCATGATGGAGGCGGCCGCCAGCAGGTCCACGATGCACAGGTGCATCAGGTAGAGCGCGTCGCGCAGCCCTGGAGTGCGCAGCACCACGACCAGCAACGCGACGTTGCCCAGCAGTGCTGCTGCTTCCACCACAGCGGCCAGGATCAACACCATGGAGCCTGCGACCTCTGTGGCGTTCAGCCCTGTGGAGTTGGCCATGTAGCGCTCAGGCTTCACCCTGTGCTGGGATTCGGAGAGCGAAATGAAACGGCCCTCCATCCCCCATTCCCACCACCCCTCCCTTGCTCCTCCGGCCCCTCACCTCACAGGCTGCCCGGGCTCTGGCTCTGCTGCCCAGGCTGCCATCCTCTTGGGGGCTTGGCCAGCCCCGTGGAGGGCTGCAAGGCTGAGGCTGTGGCTCTCCCCCCTGCACCAGCAGCTCAGCCCTTGCCGGAGATGGTACTGGCTGTCACTCTGATGTTGCCCTTTACAGCCACAGAGCCAGAGGGCAAGGGAGGGGCAGGGCCTGGCACCAGTCCCCTGGGTCCTAGCAGCTGCCGACCAGAGGCTGGAGGCTTCTCCTGTGAAAGTGCCTGTGGAGGGCCCACAGCAGGCCCAGGTTGGGGTCTAGTGTCCGGACCATAGAGTGTGTAGAGTGTGGAAGGCGGAAGAAACCTGAGCTCTCTCTCTGTCTCTGGAGGACCACCTCTCTCCCCTTCAGGCAGCCTGCCCGCCCCCCACGGTTCTCCTGAGTGTGACCCTGGCCCCTGAACCTTGGGGTATCTATGGTTCCTTCCATTATTGCTGCGACCTAAGAGTGGGAGCAGCTTCCCGCTGTTGCTGATCTGCGGGTTCCCTCGACACCTGACTTTGTAGCTCAGTCCCTTTCGGGTATCAAAGTCCTCTTGTCCAAAACACCCAGAGGGATGTCAGCTTGGCTGATGGGGTCTTGACTGACGAATGCCCTGCAGTGTGTCTCCTGCACAGTGGCCGGAGCACATCCCTGCAACAACAAATCGATGGAGCCACGGCCCTGCTCTCATCCCTCCAGGAAAGAGGTTCCCGTTGCCAGAACAGGTGCCCCCGGCGCTCTGAGCACACCCTCCTTCTCTCCTCCCCTGCTTGCGGCCATAGCAGTCATCCTGCCGGTTGCTCACACCTCAAAGGGGTTTCCACCCCAGGACCTTTGCGTGTGCTCTTTTCGCTGTCAGACACCCTGCCTCAGTGCAGAGCAGGGCTCGCCCCTCACCCGATTCAGGTCTCTGCTGGAGAGAGGCCTTCGTTGGCCATCAGTCTCTTCTGAGATTGTTCCATCTCATCACTAATCCTTTTGTCCTGCTTCATTTTTCTTCCTGGCACTTCCCCTACCTGATGCTATGTTTCCTATCTGTGCGTGTGCTTGTCTAGCGCCTGTTTTACTGGAACGTCAGCCCCCTGAGAGCAGGGCCCCTAGGCCCCATCCCAGGCACGTGGTCAGCATCAGCGCAGATATCGGTGGCAGAGACCAGGCTTGGGGCCTGTAGGTGGACTCTCTTTCTGCTGAGATTTAAAGGGCCCCAGCCCAATTCTCCATGATTCATAGGAGGAGGCTAGTGCCCAGACAAGGGAGGATTGTGTCCCAGATCATGCAACTGAGGTGTCCCTGAAACCCAGGTCACCTGCTTCCTATGCTCTGTCCACAGATTGAACTTGGGTATTCACCTCTCGGAGGTGAAGCGGCATTTGGAGGTTTTGTTCAGAGGGAAGAGGGAGCCTTGTCCTTGTCCCTGCTCAGTTAGGCCTGCAGGCCTGGCAGCCCCTGAGCCGCCAGGGCCTGGTCATGACGCAGCAAGGCCAGGCAGGGAGAGCAAAGAAGACAGTGGACCGGGGACAGCAGTAGGCAGGGACAGGGACTAAGGTGGGTTGGAGAGTGCCTGCTCCTCCAAATGATTTAACTCGATTAAAAAACTGTGTAGTTTATCTGTTTATTTACTGTTTTTAACTTGCCAGAAGAAATGAATAAAGGCACTGGCTAGTGTGACTCAGTGGATTGAGTGCAGACCTGCAAACCGAAAGGTTGCAGGTTTGATTCCTGGTCAAGGCACATGTCTGGGCAACAGGCCAGGTCCCGAGTCAGGGGCATGCGAGAGGCAGCCAGCTGATGTTTATCTCCCTCTTTCTCCCTTCCTTCCCCTCTCTGTAAAGATAAAATAATCATTTTTTAAAAAAGAGAAAGAAATGAATGAAGGATAAAGGAGAAACCAGTGACCCTGGCGCCCTACGGCAGGTGGGTGGGAGTGGAGGGGACGGGCTCAGGGCTGAACCCCCCTCTGAGCACAGCCCTTTGTATAGGTTGGACTTCTTGGAACTATGTTAATGTTCTGTGTATTGAAAAAAATACATCAGTAAAGATGAGGAAAACCCCCTCAAGGTGACTATAAGTAGAAACAAATGAGGCAGACAACTGTACTTGAACAACAAAATAATTTGGGGGAAAAAAAAAACGAACCTGCCTGTATTTCAAATGAACAACAGCCGCAGCGAAGGGAAGGGAATGGCTAACCTAAGTAACCTGTAAACCGGTTCCAACTCGTCGACCTCAGTGTAAAGGCAAACAGGGAATCTTGAAGAAGCTTTGAGAAAGCACGAGCCCCGCTTGGAATGCTCATTTCTCACCGTGGCACAGGTGTAGCAATTCAAAATCTCCTTTTGGTGTAGAACAGAGCAAACAAGTAGTCAGGCTGATGTGGTGCACGTGGAGATTCTTCCCATCGGAGAGTAAAGGTGGAACTGGGAAGAGTGAGAGAGCCCCTGGGTGGGAGCTGGGAAAACGGATGTAGAAAGAGGTGTGTATTTTGTGCGTGTACACCCTTCCTGGTTTTTTACTCCAAGGGCTCAAAAGCAGTGACACCCAACACCAAGAGCATCCCTTCTGTCTGGAAACCAGATTTTAAATACCATTTCCTGCTCTAGAGAGGTTGGGCTCCTTGGAGAAATGGCTGATCGGGATTGTGCAGGATGAGCCTGGAACACCATTGGCACCGGGAAATAAGGAAGTGCTCAGAAGTAATGGAGATGCAGGAGTCAGCTTGAAGGACCCTCTATGGGCCACATCTGGGACAATCGGAGGCTCAGTAAATAAGGACAGGTCGCTGATTACAAGTAGGGCAGCTGGTCACTTTCAGGGGAGAGACCTGGTATGGCAGCTGTCTTAAGCAATCAGTTCATGTCACCCACAGAGGGACATGTCCCTTCTGCCAGAATGCCCTGAGGAGACATCATGCATGTTGGTCCCCCCCCAAATGGCAGCAGCTAAATCTGATCGTGACAAGACATGAGGGAAATTGAGACTGAGAGACCCTGTGAACCAACTGGCCGGTACCCTTCAGGGCTGTGGAGGACGTCCAAGTCATGGAGGAAGAAATAAAACGTCTGAGACAGGTTTCAGATCGAAGGAGAGTAAAGAGACAAGACAAGGAGATGCCGGGGGGACCCCCAGCTGGGTCCCAAGCTGCTCTAGGACCCATGTCCTTGTGTCTGGTAGGCCCACCTGGGCGCTCACAGGCATCCTTTCCTGAGAGCAGAGCCGGGCCCTTGGGGACGTGCAGGTATAAGACACTCCAGTGCTAAGGCATGGGCAGGGCTTGGTCTGCCTGGCCCCGTCTAGGCTAACAGACTGGATCGCCAGGTGGGGCCCCCCCCACCCCGTGACCACCGGTTCTGAGTTGATGGCCAGGGTTGCCTTTGAAGGCCAAGTGATTGGAGGAAGTGGGTGTGGCAGAGGTGGGTGCGGTTGGACCAGGGTGGGTGGGGTCAGCATGGGGCTGGAGCTGCCGTGTGCTCTGGTGGCTCACTGTGGAGAGAAGGGGGGTCCAGGCTTGTGGGGCTGCAGCACAAAGAAGCAGAGTCTGGGGTGAGCAAAGACAGCATTTAATGAACTTGCCCCATGTGCGTGCTTGAAGTTCAGCCTACATCGGTGACCACACAGCCTGGGCCGGGATGGACGGCCTGGGTGGGTATGGGGACCAACTCGCTCTCAACCTGCACCCCTCTAACTGCACAGCCAGGAACAGGTGCACCTTCGGCCCAGTGATGCTGCCAGTCCATTGCACCTGTCAGCTTCGGGACGGTACTGGGGCCACTGCCCCGCCAGGGCTAGGGAGGAAGTGGGCATCACCATCCTGCACACAGCAGGGAGATGCGGGAGCAAGAAGGGGTGACGGGGGGGGGGGGGCTGCGGGCGGCCAGAGGTGGGCAGGAAGGCCGAGCCTGACAGTCCCTTCGCAGCTCGTCGGGGCGAGGGGAGGGCACGCAGCTCAGAGGCACATCTCCAGCAGGTAGCGCAGGCGGCACTGGCTCTCCTGGTAGATGAGGTACTCGCTCTGCCAGAACGAGGAATCGCTGAACTCGGGGCAGGGCGTGGGCTGGCCCTGGGGCACCACCACTCGCTGGCCATCCAGCTCCAGCTCGGTGTCCTGGGTTGGATCTGCAGGGTACAGCGGGGGCCGAGGGGGACGCCAGGGTCACTCATTGGTCCTTGACCTTACCAGGAAGTTCCGCCCCCCATACCGTCTGCTTCTGGCACAGGGCTTGCCGGCTCATTCCCACCTTGCCAACCTGCAAATCACTGCGCAGGCTGGGCTCTCCGCCTGGACTACCCTGCCCCTTTGCTCCACCTGGGAACACCCACTCATCCTTCAGCACGTGACGACACCTCTCCTTTGAAGCCCTCCTGGATACCCGGGAATGATTTGTTGAATGGCAAAGTGAAGTACTGCAGCGAGGACGCATGCTGCTTCTTGCCCCTCTGCACAAGCCCTTCGCGGCTCGCTGCTCCCTGCAGGCGCCCTAGTCCCTGGTCGCAGCCCCACTTCCATCCATAGGCCTGTGCAGCTTCTCAGGCCTGGGACTCACCAGGCTCTGTGTGGCCTCGGGCAATGACGCTGTCAAAGCCAGGGGGTGGCTTCTTCAAGCTGGGCTCGTCGATGGTGATGTGGTGCTCTCTGCCAAGTGCGACCTCACTCAGGAACATGTAGCCGATGCACTGCTTCCCACACGACATGCCCATAACTGGGGGCCACAGGGAGGCTCAGGCTGGGCTGTTCAGCCCTCTGGCTTGACTTCCTGGGTCCCTCTCTGCTGCACCGTTAGCCCCTCTGCCCTGGCTGCCTCAGCACGGACAGGGCCCCACTCCTCCACCCTTAGAAAACCCCCTGCCCAGGCCATGCTGCCTCCCGTCTCTCTCCCCGACTCGAGGCTCCCGGGGCCAGGCTTCTGCACCCCCTGCTGCCCTCGCCACGGTCAGTCAAGGCCTCCCAGTGACCAAATCCGGGGTGGGACGCTTTTCTCCCTGGCCCACTTGCTGACTTGGCCACCGGCACCCTTTCTCCACTAGCCCGCCCCCCATGGTCTGGTTCTCTGGGGGCTACTCTCCGTAGGCTCCTCTGCCTCCCTGCCAGACCCCTTGGCCTTGGGCAACCTTGGACACCCTAGAATTTCAGCCCCATGTGCCCTTGGACCTTGCTGCCTTGTCTGGGTGAGTGGCGGTGGTCTCCAATGAAGGGGTCAGTCTGGGTTGGGGACCCAGTCTGGAGAGGTCACCTCAGTGAGGGCTACGCTGGACAGAAACCTGGGGGTCATTAGAGGTGACTTTCACCCTGTCTTTCCCGCACGCTGCCACCCCACACTGCACATCCCTCTCCCAGATTCTCCCCGCCCCCACACCCGTGCCCTGTCCTGGGTGCCCCCACCCATGCCCGACGACTCCACTGTCCCCCTGCAGCCTCCGGGCCTGCCACCCTGCCCAGGGCTGCAGCTGCTGTCCACATCCAAACGGACACCCGCTTGCTCTCTGGATGAGACCCTCTTGTCCCCAAGTCCCCAGCCACTGCCCACACATGGCTTTGAGCTTTCCTATCAGGCTGGGCGGGAGGTCCTGACCTGCCGCAGCCGCCCAGCCTGTGGGCCACTGGCTGCCTGCTTTGCCTCAAAGGGTCATCTCTCACCCCATCAGGTCTGGCTGACATGCTCACTCTGTCCTCACCACCTTCTCCAGGAAGCTGTCCCTGAGTCCCCTCAAGCCCCAGGAAGCCCCACTGAGTGCTCTGGTCAGTCACTATTCAAGGGTTCGTCTCCTGGATCCCCCACAAACCGGGGGGACGACGGGCCCGGTCCTCCTCAGTCCCCATGCCCGCTGGGGAGCCACTCACCGTAGCCTGCCGACTTGCTGTTCTCCGAGGCAAAGTAGATGCCCTTGCCCACGCGGCCACCAGAATGCGGCATGATGCGGAGCCCACTGGTGAGGATGGCGGCCACTACCGCCACGTTGGTGCCATGCCAGAGCAGCCTCCGGTTGCCCAACTTGCAGTGGGCCTGGAACCTATCTCCCTGGGTGGGGGTGGGGAGAAACCGGGGAGCCGCGTCATGCCAGCCCGGGGCTCCTCCCTGCCGCTCCGAGGGGCCCACTGGGGCCTGGGCCTCTGGCCACTCGCATGCTCATTGCCACACTTGCCAGCCCCGGGGCTGCTGGGAATCAGTAAGAGTTGCAGAGATGGTCCAGTAAGGGATACACCAGCCAGGTCATCTCCCCAAGCGTCAGGGCAGTGACAGGGGAGGGCACTGGGGGACGTCCCTCACCTCCCCTTCTCGGTTCACTTTCCAAACGTGCTGAAGAGCAGGGCACCTGTAGGTGTTGCCAGTCTGTTTTAAGTAGGTGTGGATCACCTGTGGGGAGAGCAGAAGTGGGATGACCCCCCCAGCTCTCCACAAGCCCTAGAGACTCAGGGAGAGGGGACCAAGGGTGAGGGAGTCCCCCGGGCACCATGAGGGCAGATGGGCAGAGGGGTGATGCCCACTCTTCCCCCAGCTGCTCTGTGGGGCTCAGCCCACCTTGTACTCAGGCGTCTCCGGGTCCAGAAGCTGGAGCTGGCACTTGAGGAGCTGGTAATCTCGGTCCAGCGGGTGCGGCAGCTCCTCCACCTCCTTCTCCTCCTGGGGGGCTGTCTGCAGGCTCCGGGCCAGCTCGATGTCGGCCAGCACCTAAGATGACAGGCACTGGCAGCTTGTCTGTCCAAGTGACCTCCCGCCTCTGCTCTCCTTCCCACGCGACTGGCACTGTGGCCACCCAACTCGTCTGTCCACCTGTTCACCACCACCCCGTCCATCACAGTCCTGCTCTCGGGGCCTGCCGGCCACCTGCCCCCTGTCCCCATGTCCTTTGCCCAACCTGCTGGGTATCCGCACTGCCTGCCTGCCCACCCACCAGCCCTCACCAGCAGCATGTCCTTCTTGGCCTGCAGAAGCTCCAGGGAGCTGATGGGCGGGGGCCGGCTGCGGCCGAAGTTGTGGGGGATGACCGTGTAGAAGTGAGAAGACAGCTCGTCCAGGCCTGGGCCCCCGGCGGAGGGTGCCCTCAGGGCTGCCTCCAGGGCCTCCAAGGCCTCGAAGCCCCGTGCGATCTGCTGCTTGCTCAACTTCCCCAGGGGCATCTTTTTCACATCTAGGGGGGTGGGGGGTTGGGGAGACTCAGCCTCCGGTCACTCCTGGGGCCTTGCCACCCTGCCTGGCCTCTGCCCTCACCCAGGTTCATGAGGGCCATGGCGTCACTGAACATGTCCTTGCTGAAGATGTTGGTAATGAGCTTCTGTGTGGCTGCGTCCAAGGAGCAGGGCCGCACCCGCTGAGCCACGGTCCTCACTGGGCCTCCGTCAACCTAGGGGCAGAGGGCGCACATAGGGGCCAGGAGTAGGGCCGGACCAAGGCCAGAGAGTGCAAGTCTGTGGCAGTGCGGCACAGCTGGGCAGGGGCGGTGGCCAGGTGGCTGGGTGCCTGGTCCCCTCCCTCAGCCCAGAGCCCAGAGCGTAGCCACTATACCTTCACCACAGCTTCCTGGGCATCGTCCTCGCCCTGCACTTCGATCAGCGTGTACTTGCCGGGATGAGCCACAAAGTGGTCCCGCTCGGCCCAGCTGTTCTTGGTCTTGTCCCGAAACTTCTTCTCAAAGTCCTTCTTTGCGTCATCCAGTGAATCGAAGTGGCTGAGCTTTGACTGGCCCACCTCTCCCTGCAATTGACAGCCTTCAGGTGCATGCCTGGTGCTGTGCCCAACATAACACCTGCTGGCCTCCGTCCAGCCAGGCCCTGCGCCCAGCACCTAAGCCAGTCAGCACCTACAGCAAGGGTGTCAAACTCACTTCCTCTGGGGCCACGTCAGCCTCGTGGCTGCCTTCAAAGGGTCGAAGTAATTTTAGGACTGTCTAAGAGTAACTACTCCTTAACTGTTAAGAAGTTGAAATTACATTAGGCCCTTGGAAGGCAACCTTGAGACTGATGTGGCCCTGGATGAAAATGAGTGTGACGCCCCTGACCTACAGCCTTTCAGCCTGAGTGCTGTGTGGGCCCTGAGCAGCAGGGGGCAGTGCTGAGCAGGGAGAGGTGAGGGGAGGCCGTTGGGGGAGGGGCCGGGTGGGCACTCACAACGCGGCCCCAGCGGTTCCAGCAGGCGAAGCGGTCACCGTCCTCCAGCAGCTGGATGATGTAGAACTTGTTGTTGTTGCTCCCGATGTTGGTCTGGTTCAGGGTGCAGTCATAGTCCCCATGCACCTGGGCCTGAGGGCACATGGGCAGAGCAGGCTGGCGGCGGGCCGCCCTCAGGTGGGCAAGAGACCCGGCCGCATATTGACAGGGCTCAGACTGCCCTGGGTCGTCACAGGAGGCCCTGGGGGACGAAGTCTGAGGGGACGTGGCTAAACTCGGGCCATGGAGGAAAATTCTGGAAAGATACGGCTGTGCCCTGGGTTGGGGAATTGAGGGACACATGTTTCTTCCCCAGGGGTCTCACAAGGACACAGCCTTGCCCTGTGGTGTAGGTTTGAGGGTGCATAGGTGAGTCCTGGGGAGACCTCAGGGGTCAGAGCCTGGCTTGAAGGGTGGAAGGAGGAAGCCAGAGAAGCTCAGGGGCCTGCCCTGCAGTCTGTAGAGCAGACGCGACCCGCCTAGTGGGATGCAATGCAGCCCTGCTGAGCTCGGGGATCTTGGGAGACCACAGCCGACGTGGGACCCTTGAGCTATGTGACCAGAGCTAAGCCACACTGGGGAGGGGAGCGGCTCTGAGTGTATTCGTGTATCTAGGAGGGAGCAGGCTCCAGGCCCGACTGGGGACTACGGCTCACCTGGGTCCCGGGACTGCAGCTGAGGGGACACTCGGGGTCCACCCGGACTGTGCGCTTTTCCGTGGGTGCAGCCCTGAGGGCCTCAGCCGCGGAGCGGAAGCTGTCCTCCTCCGCCCCCTGCCGTCCCTTCTTCTTCTCAGGGCCCTTGCCCTGCACGGCGAGCTTGCGCTTGGGAGCCATGGCTGGTTTGGGGCACCGAGAGGGGCTTCAGGCTTCCATGGCAGCTGCACCCCACCTGGCTGGTACAGCACCAGCATGCCCCACGCTGGGTTTGCCTTTGGTGAGCACCCACCGCCCCCACTCCCTCCATGCTCCAGCCCCAGCCCCAGACCACAGCCAGTTCTCTCAGTCCTGACATGCCCTGTGCCCGATAGCAGGGCAGGGCCAGGACCCTGTCCAGTCTGCCCACTCCGGTCAGAGGAGTGGCTCCCTCCTCTCTCTGGTTGTGCAGGCTGTCCAGCCAGTACAGAAAACGAAAGGAGAACCTTCTCTCCCGCTATGGGCCCCTCCGCCCTCCAGAGCACTCTCTGGGCTCTGCCTGCTCCTCCCACCTCTCAGCTGCCTCGAACTTGGCAAGGGCGCTGGGCTGACTCATCCTAGCAATGGAGCCGAGTGGGTAGTGGTGGCCAGGGCAGTGCCCCCGGGGCCAGATCTGTTCCTCCGGAGCTCGGGACCCAGTGACTCAGAAACCCTTCCCATTGAGCTCAGTTTTCCTGGGCTGTCAGCCGGGGTCCCAGACCAGTGGCCTTGAATTGCAAGTGTACAAGGGAAGCCCCTCCCGACCCTGCCCTTCAAAGGGCTGTGGACAGGGCCGTGGGCACTCACCTAGGAGAAGCAGGGACCTGGGAGAGGTGGCCCTTGGTGCCCAGTATGAGGACCTCCCACAGCCGTCCCAGTTCTGGGGTCCCCTCTAGCAATCTGCTGTAAGCCTAGGCGTGACTATGGGAGGGACTTCCTGATAATTGCCAGAGGCGGAGGAAAGCTGGAGTGTGGTCGAGTAATATTTCAACTATTTGGCCACGAGTGGGGTGAGTCAAAGGCTGGGTCAGGCCAATGCGTGCGGCCTGTCCCACACATGGGTGGGCACCTCATCCGGACACTGCCAAGGCCTGGAGGACCAACGCACCGTTAGGGCTGCTCCTTCGGCCTGAGGTAGTCCACCGGTTCCAACAACCTTGGGCCAAGGTGCGGGCACTGCCTTCCTTTCTCTAGTGCTGCCTGGATGCCCCTGGTGCCCCGCCGGATATCTAGTGCCAGACTTGGTACACCCTTGTCCACGCCCCTGACAGGGTGGGGTCCTGTTCTGCAACTCCGAACTCCGCATCTCTGGCGCCCTCCAGCGTCCAAGGGGCGAAAACACAGAGACGGCCCCAGGTTCGCCCCGCCTTAGACATCAGCTAAATAGCGGTGCGCACGCGCTGCATCTCAAGCCGGAAGAACCCGGAACAGGCGGTCTCCAACCGAGCCTACCGGAGGTCTAGGGGGCGTGGCCACAGGCATTTACCCACTGGGTGATTGGGGGGCGTGGTATAGCTCACCAAAAGACCCAATGATGTCGTAGGAGGCGGGGCCCGCCGGGCAGTGAGGGCCTATCAGGGCGCAGAGTCTTGCGAGATCTCCTGGATTCGGCAGCCACGTGAGTGCCCCCGCGGCGGCCGCGACACTCAACGCGGTCAACATGCCGGCGACAGCGGTGGCTCGGAAGCGGGGAAAGCCTGTCTCGGGGGAGCGGGCCGGTGCGGGAGCTGGCAAGCGGCGGCGGAAGGTGAGAGTGGCGTTTCTCAGGGCCGAGATCAGACCTGCTCCTGGGACCACTGTCATCCCACCTTCATCCCCTCCTTTCCCCTCCTCGGCCCCCTCGACCCACTCCCCGACCATTCTCCCGGGATTCCAGCTGGAGTCAGCTTCGCTTCTCTGACCGCTGGCCAAATCCTAGACTGCCGTTTCCAGTCCCAGGGCTCTCGACAGATCGGAAGGGGCCCTTGGTCAGTGCCGGAGTGGTCGGAACCCCTGACCTGTGAAAGGATCATTCTCGTATAATTTCCAGGCTGACTCTTCCGAGGACAAGGGAAAGTCCAAGGGCGGCGGCAAGATGAATGAGGAGATCTCCAGCGACTCCGAGAGTGAGAGGTGAGCTCTGCTTTTCTGCTTAGTGAGTGGTAGGGAGCGCTGAGGCCCATGGTGCGTGGAAGTCTCAGTGAGTGAGAACCCCCTCTCTTGGCTCACAAGCCTTGGCTCTTTTCTCCAGTTTCTGATCTTGAGAAGCCTCATCTCCTGCCCCGCGGGGTCTGTGTGTGGAGAGGAGACCCCCAGCCCCAATTGGAGACCAGGGAGACCTCTCTGGCACATGGCTGGGTGCAGGGAGCTGAGTCCAGGCAGGACTGACTTGGAAGGGGAGGAGGATGCAAGAAGTGCTGGCTAGTTCTTCACTCCCTTTTTCCACAATTCGCAATTTCTGGTCTTCCCCTGGCTTGCAACAGAGGCCGGGCACTGACTTCACTTTTGAGAGCACAGAGGTGAGCAGGCAGGTGAAGACCGAACGTGTGGTAATGGGATGTCTTACCACCATGTGTTCTGGGAAGAGACGAGGGGCATTTAAATAGGGCCTGGAGAGGTGAGGAGCCCCTCGTGGAGCGGTGGGGAAGGCGTTGAGGGGTCAGAGGAAGGTGCAGGGTGTAAGTGTGCCGAACGGGAGGTGGGGAGATGAAGTCCAGGTGGTGGCTGCGTCCAGCTTGCCGAGGGCTTTGAGTACCTCCCTCGTCCTGTCTGGTGACAGGAGTGGGGCAAGTGGCAGGGTTTCCCAGGGGGCTAGCAGAAGTCCTCATACCCCGGAGTCCTGGTGCCTGTCTTAAGCGCTCTGGCTTTGGAAATTCTGCTTCTCATACTGACTCTGTGTTGGCCTTACCCTGCTCACAGGGAGACTTAAGGTGCTTTGCTTAGTCCTGAGGTCACGGTGGGTGGGTGGGTGGGTGGGTGTGTGCCGAGCCCTCTGCTAAGCACTTTTAAGTGGTTTTAAAATGTGTTGTGAGATGCCTTAGATACAGAAGAGTCAAGGAAGCATGTTTGTACTGTAGAATGTGGTGAGCACAGGATGACCTCTGGGCACTCACCACTCAGGTCATGAACTTGACCATTTGCAGCAACTTACAAGCCCCAGTTGCCATTCCTGATTCGAGTTACTAATTTCTTTGGTTTCCTCCTTTCCTTCCTTTTTCTCTTTCTGTTTTTCATTTTCTCATTCAGTTCTAACGTACATGTAGCGACATCCACCTTTTTTAGAGGACAGTTCTGTGGGTTTGACAGGTGCATGCCACCGTGGAGATACAGAATGGTTTCATCACCCTTCTGAATTCTCCCTGCTTTCTTTTTTTTAATTTTTTATTCTTTTTAAAGATTTTATTTATTTATCTTTAGAGGGGAAGGGAAGGAGAGAGGGAGAGAAACATCAATGTATGGTTGCCTTTCGTGCGTCCCCTGCTGGGAACTGGCCTGCAGGGAGTCGGCCTGCAACCCTGGCATGTGCCCTGACTGGGAATCAAACCACGATTGTCTGGTTCGCAGGTCCGTGCTCAGTCCACTGAGCTACACCAGCCAGGGCCTCCCCTGCTCTATCATAGCCAGTTCTCCCCCACCCCCAACCCATAACCACTGTCCCTAGAGTTTTTTCTTTTTGAGTGTGTCATGTGGGTGGAATCACAGAGTGTATACTTCCCTTGGCTTTTTTTCGGAGTTCTGTCTGGTATGTATGAACTCCTAAACAGGGGATTGGTTAGTCTGGGTAAACTGAGTAGAAGTTCTGACCTTGGCTGTGTAAAGGGCTGAAGGCAGTAAAGTCTCTGGAGCGTGGTCTGGTTTTGAGAGTGCCAGGGTTCTTTTCTGGGAAAGGCATGGGCAAGGTCAGGATTGAGTCCTGGGAACCAGTCGGGGCACCTGACAGGGACCAGATACCTGCCAGCTTGTGATCAGGGACACGGGCTGCCCTGGGTTTTCTGCTCCTGAGTGCCTGGGACCTTCCTGCAGCTCCCAGGACCAGTCAAAGGAGGACTTGTCTTGAGTAAAGTAGTGTCCCAGCTGGTGCAGGGGCCCGGGCATAGAGGGAAGGCGGGAACTTTACCAGCACCAGGTCAAGCCAGGCCTGGTGAGGCCTCCCTGGCCCCTGACCTTAGGACAGAGGATGGTGCTGTGGCAGTGAGGTGATGCAGGCGCTGTGTGTCTGCCTCTCAGGCCTTTGCTCGGATCTGGGCTGGCTGCTCCCCCAGGTCGGGGCGGTGGTTGTGCTGGGAGCTACTGTTCCTGCTCTGCAGGTTGGGTCTCCTGTTTCCTGCCTCTCGGGCCGACCTCGTTCTTTGCTTACCTTCCTATTGGATGAGCTCGTTCTCCATCCTTTATGTATACTTTTTAAAGATTTTGTAAATTTACTTTTAGAGAGAGGAAGGGAGAGAAACATCAATGCGTGCTTGCCTCCGGAGTGCCCCTTACTGGGGACCTGGCCCGCAACCCAGGCATGTGCTCTGACTGGGAATCCAATCAGTGACCCTTTGGTTTGCAGGCCTGCACTCAGTCCACTGAGCCACACCATCTTTAAAAGAGGGAGGAAAGACCCATCCTGTGGCCTTTGGGACGGCTGACGGTGTCTTCAGTTGTCACGATGATGTGACTGCGTGGGTGTCCAGGGGTTAGCGTTAGAGTTCTGTGTGTGTGGCTCGTGTGTCTTCCCACTCTCAGGGCTGCTGTGGAGATGTTTGCAACGTTCCTGACTCTTCGTACACGACCTGAGTTTTCTCAGGAGCCTGTAGAACCTTCGCTTCCCCTGCAGAGCTGAGAGATGTCACAGTGGTCCCTTTGGGTTTGGGTCTGTTTTCACGCTTGTGTCAGGCAGTGGGCGGGCCCTTTATATTCTGCACGTGTAAGCATTGGCCATGAGGGCTGGCAGGGGGAGCAGCCAGCGGGGCATGGTTCTAGAAGCCGGAGGAGTGGGGTGAGCACCCTCAAACCCAGTCCCCCCCGGCCCACAGCCTAGCTCCCAGGAGGGCAGAGGAGGAGGAGCAGGAGGAGCTGGAGGAGACTGCGCAGGAGAAGAAGCTGCGCTTGGCCAAGCTCTACCTGGAACAGCTGAGGGAGCAAGGTGAGCCTGGGAGCTGGGTAGGGGAGGGGCGGAGCCTGTGCCGAAGGGCCCTGCTGCGGCCCCTGACCCTGCTGGGGGCCTGAGGCAGGTTCCCAGTGTACTGTGGGGGCTGCTGGTACTGGCTGCCCTGTGGGAATGTGGCCAGAGTTCTAATGGGCTTTAGGGGCCGGCCAGACCTTCAAGGGGCTTTAAACAGATCTGAGAGGTAAAGGCAGGCCGAGAGGAGGAAGAGACATCAGGCCCTTCCCCCTTTGCCTGAGGCAGCCTGAACTGCTCGTGGGATACCACCCAAGTGTTTGGGGCCTAGGACGGGGGTGGGGGGTGGGGATGGGAAGGGAAAAGTGGGGTCTTGGCCTGGGTTGACCTGGTCTGGTCTGCCCTTCCCAGAGGAGGAGAAGGCTGAAGCTCGCGAGTTTGAGGAGGACCAGGTGGCAGGGCGCCTGAAGGAGGATGTGGTGCGTGTGCGGGGGGTGGTGCTGGGGGAAGGGGTGGGGCTTGTCTGGCTCCTGGGACCTCACGCCTGTCCTCTCTGTGCAGCTGGAGCAGAGGGGCAGGCTGCAGAAGGCGGTGGCGAAGGAGGTGAGTGGGCAGCGCACTTGGTGCAAGATTGAAGGGAACTGGGGTCCCTCCTTGGTTGGTGGCAGATGGCTCGGCCGGGGACTCGGACCCTGGGGTCTTTGAGAACATGGTGGGCACTTGGTCAGACAGGGTCGGCTCAGGGCTTGGTCCCCTTGCAGCCCTGGGTCAGTGCCTCTGGGTGGGGAGGGTGTGTGAGCAGGTGGGGGGCCTCCCTGCCCCAGTCCCAGTGACCCCGCCCTGCCTGCCCAGATCCAGGCCCCAGCCCCGGGCGACATTCGAGTCTTGCGCGGCCACCAGCTCTCCATCACGTGTTTGGTCATCACCCCCGATGACTTGGCCATCTTTTCCGCTGCCAAAGACTGCACCATCATTAAGTGTGAGTGAGTGCCCGGGGTGGGGGGCTGGTTTGG